GGGGGGGAATCAAGGGAAATATAGTGTCCTGCGTGTGGGGCGAAGGTGAAAATTTGACACCTTACTCTTGCAGTGCCTGTATCGTTTTTTGTTGCTCAGGAGCAACAGCCCCTGTAGCGCGCCCTGGGGCGCTCCAGAGCGCCCCGCTCGGCCGCCGACAAGTTCTGTCCACCCAATGTCGTGGTCCAGCATCAGGTCACGCTGATTCTAGTTGATTTGGTGGTTGTGGTACTTACTACAGTTGTAGGGAGAGCCAGAGGACGTTTGTTGCTCAGGAGCAACAAACGCCGATACAGGTACAAAGACTTCAAATCGCAGGACCTGTATCGGTTTTTGTTGCTCAGAAGCAACAGCCTGTAGCTCGTACCCTAATTACGCTAGGTCAAATTTTTTTGCGTGAGTAGTCTTAGATGGCTAAAGACTATAAGAAAATGACAAAAAATAATTTTTCGTACGGTGCATTTACGTATTGACGATAAAGGGTTAATTCCTGGTCCCGTGTTAAATGTATCATCTGCTAAAGAGTTATTATCCACATCACTTTTCTTCTCGCGGGAGGAAACAATTTCCGTGGTGGGGGGGGAGGAGGTGAAGTAGGAAGCCTGGAGGGGTGCAGATGGTCGCTAACACTGCAGGGTAGGACGGCGGCAGGGCTCCCCTCGTAGCGGAGGCAGGAGGCCGTCGGCCCGCCGGCCCCAATATCGCCTACCTCCCCGTCGGCACCACGAGCCCCTCTCTGCAGCGCGGAACGCCTGCAGCCCGATCAACATAGTTGTGTAAGAAAGTTTGAATCGGAGTGTGGCGTCTCGCTCTATGCTTCAGCGCTCCTCGGCCAACTCCCCCCCCGGCCGTCCACCGAGCAGCTCTCCAAAGAAGGTTTGGGGCGGGGTACGAGGGTGAGAGAGAGGGCGGGAGAGAGACGGCATGGCAAAGGGGGGGGGGGGGAGATTGTGAGCACGATGCTGATGCGAACTTTACATTTCACCCCCTGCAATTGCGAGAGTCGAAAGACGTCGAAGATCGGAACAAAACATCACACAGTTGTCGACATGTACGCAGTTTTCCGTTTCGAAACCGAAGTCTGTGGTAGAGAATGCCGAATATGGACCGGGAACGCGTTTGACGGTGCTTGACGGAGCCAGACTTGCCAAGTGCGGCGTGGCGTAGCGTGGCGGGTCGGGTCGGGTAGGTTGTGCCCGACGCGCGGTCGGCGGTGGGTTTGAGGCGCGGGGGGGAACTCTTATGGAGCACAGTGGACCACCGTGCGAGTGAGACAGAGATATCCCACACGATCCTGTAGTGCCAACCTCTGCACGCCAAAACGAGCACACACCTCCCGGCAGCTACAAGAGCGCGCTGGACCAGCCTCCCCCCTCGTCGCTTCGGTAGCTCAGTGGGTTGAGGCGCTGCCCGGGCGGCGAGGCGAGCGGTCGGGGGTTCGATTCCCACCCAACAAGTTTTGGAGGTTCTGTCTTCGAAATTCAAAGGTTGGCAGTACCTGATCGAGTGGGATCTATCTGTCTCTCTCGCACAAGCGTCCCTGTTCTACAGCACTGAGATCCCCACCGCGGTTTGAGGTGCAAGTCGCGCGCCCCTCTCAACTTTGCGACGAGTTGCTTTCAAGGCGAGGCTGTGCACTCTAAATGGGAAAGGACAATTTTTGTACCTACTATAGATGTGCTTTCGTGCACATCTAAAAATGATGCACATATGCGTCTAAATTAGGTACAAAGTAAGGTTTTTGTATCGGTGCTAGATACAAATTGTGATTTTTTAGATGCTAATTTGTATCTGAAAGAGATGTGCGTAAGAGCACAACTAGGCTGGATACAAAATTGTCCTTTCAGATTTAGTGTGTGTGAAGTGAGACTAGACATTTGCATTTCGCACCTCTGGCCCAGAGCGTGGCGTGGCGTGGCGTGGCGGGTGCCGGGGAGGGCCAGCCCCGAGGCGGCCGCTGCGAGACCAACAAATCAGGCGGGCCGGGCCCCTGTCAGAGTGCAGGCAGGGCCGCTGTGCGCTGTGATGGCCGGGCCTGGGGCGCGGGGCGCGGGGCGCACATGGCAGGAAGCCTCAAATCGGCTGAAATAGAAATATCGCGTGTTTAAAACGGGAACATAAAAATATGTGCTCTCATGGGACCTCTCGAAGCCCGCCTCCATGAATGGGCTTGTTAACGTACGGTCTGCGGGCTGCGTCGAGTAAAAAAAACAAAAAACATAGGAAATCCAGGTGATTATCCGATACTGTCTTCGCGTCATCAGCAATCAGCAGAAAACTGTGACCGCTTGTGTCGCACGCGAGGGGCAGTTGAAACAGGTGGGCAGACGGCGGGTGGGTCGAAGGCGTGCGAGGGTGAAATGGCGGATGAAAAACGCTGGCCAGGGCCGGGCAGAGGAGGGGGCACCCTATTGATCGCTTATTCGTGGGCGAGAACCGCAGAGAGTTGAGTTGCCTACCTCGCGGTGCCTGACTCCACTACGACCTAACTGACTGACAGCACACCCTAGGTCCCACCGGCAGCCCGAGGGCCTAACTGACTACACTCCAGCAGGCCCTTGCGGTCCTGCCAGCAGCCCGAGGGCCTAACTGACTACACTCCAGCAGCAGGCCCTTGCCGACCCACCGGCAGCCAGAGGGCCTAACTGACTACAGTACACTCCAGCAGGCCCTTGCGGTCCTGCCAGCAGCCCGAGGGCCTAACTGACTACACTCCAGCAGGCCCTTGCCGACCCACCGGCAGCCAGAGGGCCTAACTGACTACAGTACACTCCAGCAGGCCCTTGCGGTCCTGCCAGCAGCCCGAGGGCCTAACTGACTACAGTACACTCCAGCAGGCCCTTGCGGTCCTGCCAGCGGCCCGAGGGCCTAACTGACTACACTCCAGCAGGCCCTTGCCGACCCACCGGCAGCCAGAGGGCCTAACTGACTACAGTACACTCCAGCAGGCCCTTGCGGTCCTGCCAGCGGCCCGAGGGCCAGTCCAGCGCGGCCTAAGCCTAACAGACTACACACCGGGCCCTGCGGTCCGGCCAGCAGCTTGAGGGCCAGCCCTGAGCCCAGCACGACCACGGTCCCAGCGGCAGGCTGGAGCTCGGCCAAGGAAAAAGATGTTCCACCGCGTCAGGCAGTGGCCGCCTTGGCGAGCAGGAGCGCCGTGTCCCTGATGCCGTCCTGCAGCTGCACGCCCCCGCGCAGCCCCCCCGCCGTTGTCACGACCTTTATCACCGTGTTGTGTTTGTCGCGGCGACGCGTGGTGGGAGGGGAGGCGTGCAGACGCACTCCGTGTCGCTCCGTCTCTTTCTTTCGTTTTTGTTGGTATAAACGCGTTTTTCTAGGTAGTGCTTGGTACCTGCTGATCGGCGTTGTGCTCGCGAGTGCTGTGGTGAAGTTTTGAGTCAATCCGAGTCGCGGTTTAGAAATTATCAGTGATTTTGTGATTGGCGTCACTCGGCGTCCCTTCAAGAGGCCGTAGGGCACCGCAACATCTGGCGTGGGCGGGGGACGAGGCCTCAACCCCCGCCCGGCCGGCGCAAGAATTCTACGGTGCGGCCGCCAGCCTCCAGCTCCAGCTCCAGCCCCCAGCGCGGGCTACAGCTTCAGCGGAGTGATAGTGCAACAATCTCAGGATTTCAGTGCCGCTACCGAGTGCAGTGTTCAGTGCAGTGTTCAGTGAGTTAGTGCAGTGTCCAAAGTGAAGTGGTGAAAGGGAAGGTTTTGCAAGTTCGAAGGCAGTCACGCAGTGCCCAGTGATAGCGGAGCCAGGTCCTAGCAGTACAACAACTCACTGAGCGAACCGGGCCGACGGTGTGACCAGCGAGTACCGGGTACCAGCCGTTGGTCATTCCCTCCCGGGCCACCCAGCAGGCGGCTTGGCTTGGCGTCCCTACGTCACACCGCCGGGCCACACCACGCCAGGCCACGCCACGCCAGGCCACCGCCTCCCCTCCGCTCCCC